CGCCACAATCAAAGGAGAAGGAAAGAGAAGAAGAAATCCCGGTGGCGTTTAAGCAGCCTGGTGGCGCTGTGGGTTAGGTGCTGAACTGCTGTCCCCTCTAAGTCGGGGGTTCTAACCCCCCAGCTGTTCCACGGGAGACAGATGAAGGGCTCTGTTCCCGTCAGGGCGGACAGTCTCAGAAACCCTGTGTAGGGTGGCTATGAGCCCACCCTGACTCGGGGATGGGCATGGAGCACAGTTCGACTGGGACAACTGTGGGGTCCCCGGGACTTGGGGTGACCCAATGGCAACTGGTGAACTGGGGGCAGGGAGGAAGCTGCTGGGTCATCAGATGGGCTGGCAGGACCCCACCAATCCATCCAGGACATGTACACCAGGTCTTGCCCACAGCTCGGCCTGCTGCTCTGCTGTCCTGGGCACCTAGGGACCTCAGGGTGGGCTTGAATCTCCAGCCTTCATGCCTGCAGCTGAGCAAGTTCACTGTCCCATCCCCCTTTTGTCCTGTCACCAACTGCCCCCCCACTCAGTGTCCTTGTTTCCTCTAACTGCTTCCGGCCCTCCCCCCTCCCCCTCTCCCCTCCCGTAGTCCCAGCTTCCATGTCCCCGTCCCACCAGGGAAGGCTCCACTGGCCCCTGGGTGTCTTCCTGGTAGTTCCCCATACCTTCCCAGCCACACATCATCTTTGCTGGTTGGGGGCCCCCTCCCCCAGGAAAGGGGATTGGTTTGACCCAGACAGAGGGTGGTTGTAGTCTCAGGCCCAGATACGGTGGACCAGACCACTGTGAGGTCCTTGGGGGTGGCCCCAGGGATCCACGTCTTTCTCTGGCCTCCTGCTCCCTCTCTGAAATGAGGAAGTCAGCCTCCGCGACCCTGGGCCCTTGGTAGCACCTGAGTCCCTTTGATAAGTGGTGGGTTACTTGTTTGGCTGTGAACTACAGAGTTGGCAGTTCGAACCCAAAGTCACTCTGGGGAGAAAGACGAGGCTTCTGACCCCCATAAAGAGTCACAGCCTGGGACACCCGCAGGGTCCGTTCTGCCCTGTGCTGGAGGGTCACCAGGAGCCGGCACCGGCTCGATGGCAGGACAGTGAGGAGTGTTATAAAGGAGGGGGAGCTGCCTGGAAGTTTCCCAACGCGCAAACCGGGCGGAGTCATAAAGCCCCAACTTGGAGCCTGGTCCTCATGGAGCCATTTGAACGTGGGCGTCCCTGTGGACAGGCACAGCCTAGCCACCACTGCCCGCCCCCTGTGGGGGCAGGGAACTGGGCCAGAGAGCAGAGCCTGAAGTGGTGTAACGCTGGGCAGGGGTGTCCTGGATTTGAGTCCTGGCTCTGACCTTGATACGTGGTGCTCCCCTGGCTGCAGGGCCCTGCCTGGAGGGCAGTGGCGGGGAGAGGCGATTAGACTTGTAAAGTGGACCTAGCACCAGACCTGGTCGCTGTAGGGCGTGATACAGCTTGGTCTCATAAACTCTTATCGCCCAAGGTGTTGGGCCGATCCACGGGTCATTAGTTATGTAATACTGCCAGTGGATGACATGATGGGAATCTCATGGTTTTAAAGCTCTTAGCTGCCCCAACAAGGGAGGGGCCGAGAGTTTAGCAAGAGACCACACCTTCAGGGTGCCTGGGAGGCAGCCGGTCCCAGCTCCCCAGCCTGCCTTGTCCACGACACATTCCTACCGCTACGAGGAAGGTGGCCTCCTGGGGGAGGCCTCGGTCAACTTGTGGTGGTTGCTCAGAGGTTCCGTGGGGTCGGTTCTGACTCCCAGCGACCCAGTGCACAGCAGAAGCAAAGTCCTGGCGCCTGTTCTTACGTCTGAGCCCATGGCTGCAATCCCTGTGTTCGTCCATCCCGAGGGAAGCTCCTCTTTTTCACTGCCCACGACTTGACCGCGCATGCTCCTTCTCCAGGGACTGGTCTCTCCCGACCATGTGTCCCCAGTAAATGCAATGAAGTCTCACCATCCCGGGGTCTCTAAGGAGCAGACTTCTTCTAGACAGGTCTGTTTGTTCTTTTGCCTGTCCAAGGTACACAGACCCAGCCTTCCAAGTCTTTCTTATTCAATGCCCGACTTTCACATGCAGATGAAGCGACTGAAAACATCACCAGCTGGGGTCAGGCACGCCTCAGTCTTCGAAGCGGCAGCCTTGCTCTAGCGCTGTAAAGAGGTCCTGTGCAGCCGTTCACCCGGTGCTACGCACCCTTCGATCTCGACTGCTGCTTCCGTGGGCACGGGTTGTGGATCCAAGCCAGACAAAATCTCTCACTGGTTCAATCTTTTCTCCGTTTGTCAGGATCAGCTTACAGACAAGGAAACAGACAGGAGGCTCTTGGCGAGCTGAGCCCCTCCCAGCTTCATCAGGATGGAAACCCCGGTGATTGGTTAAAAAACAAACAAACAAACAACAAAAACACCCTCAAAACTTCATAGCCGTCGAGGTAATCCCAACTCACAAGTGCAGAACTGGCCCCGTGAGTTTCTGAGACTGTTAACTTTGAACAAAGGCAGAAAGCCTCATCTTTCTCCTGCAGAGCGGGTGGCAGGTTTGAACCGCCAACCTCACAGGTAGCAGTCCAACAGGTAGCCCACTGACCACCAGGACACCCCAAGAGGTGGTGACAGGTGTTGGCCAGGTTATGGAGAAATGCTCCCCACGCCATTCCCCGAGCATTGTTGGTGTGAATGCAAGACAGTTAAACACAGAGCCAGCAAAAAACCAAACCAAACAAGTCCATTCACACTCACAGCGACCCTGTGGGGCAGGGTAGACCCGCACCTGTGAGCTTCAGAGTCCCTCACTCTTGACAGAGAGTAGAAAACCCCATTTTCCTCTTGAAGAGCAGCTAGTCGATTTGAACTACTGACCTTGTGGTCTTCAGCCCGACCACTACACCAGGGCTCCTCTTGGATGCTGTAGGGCAGAGAACTGTCCCCAGGGTTTCCAAGGCTACACATCTTTATGGAAACAGATTGGCAACTTGTTCTCCCACAGCGTGGGGCTGGTGGATTTGAACTGCCGACCTTGTGGTTAGCAGCTGAGCTCTGTAAGCATGATGCCAGCCGTTCTGCTCGCAGGGATGGACTGAAAAGGCTAGGACTCAAACACAGTCACACACTGGGGCTCACTGCAGCAGCTCACAGCGGCCAGGGGCGGACTCAGCCCGAGTGGCCGTCAACAGATGAGGAAGAAGCCCAGGGTGAGAAAATCATGAGACGGGGTAGCACTCGGGCATGAAGAAGGGAGTCCCCAAACCTGCCGTCAGGAGGTTGGGCCCGGACCACGGAATCAATGGGGTGAAAAGACCACCTTTTGCCAGATTCCATTCCGATGAAATAGCCCCGACGGAGAGATGCACCGAGGCAGAAAGCCGGCCCCTGCTTGCTTGGAAAACGAAAAAGTTAAAACAAGCAGTGTCACTGTCATAGAGTCAGTTCCACTCGCAGACACCCTACAGGGAAGGGTAAGTAGAACAGCCCCTGTGGGTTTCGGAGACTGTCCCTCTACCATCCCTCTCCCTCAGTAGCTGGCGGTTTTGAACTGCTGACCCTGCAATTAGCAGCCCAACCAGTCACCAGGGCTCCTCCATTCAGCAAGCCAACCTCCCCCAATTAAGTGCCCAGAGGCACCCCACTCCACAAGCCAGCCTCCTGCCCGAAGCACTCAGCTCTCCTTGCTCCTCGGGCTGCAAAGGCCACCTCTCTGTCGCACGCTCTGGCTCCTGCGTCTCCTGTTGGTCCTCTGGTGTTACAGCTGTCTTCTGGGTCCACAGGACGAGCTCCACACCTGGCTCCTGCCGGTAATAAGACACCCCCTCCACCCCTGCTCCCATAAAGGTTTGCAGCCCAGAAGCCCCATATGGTATTGCTATGAGTCAGAAGGGGCTCTGTGGTGGTTAGTGGGACTGCAGTCCTCAGTTAGATCCTGGACAACTGGACTAAAGGTTGGCTGCCTGAACCCACCCAGAGGAGCCTTGGAATCAAGGCCTGACAGACTGCCAGGAAGAAGCCAATGGTGCACAGAAGGATCCTCAAAGATATCTCCAAGGGGATTGGCCAGCCGGCCTCCGCTTCCTGGCCCAGGGCTGGGCCTGGGAGTCCCTGAGGGTACAAATAACTAGTAAGTGCTTGGCTGCTAGCCTCCGGGTTGTACGGGTGTTGTTTTTCTATTTTGTTGTGATTTTTAATTTTTATTCATTTAACTTTTTATCGTGATTGAGTGAAGGTTGACCGGGGAGCCCATCCCTTTCACACTCCGGGGCTTGCACACATTCTGCATCGTCTCCCTGATGGCTGAGCACGCCCCCAACCACCTCCCTGTGGCTCCCACCTGCAGGCTGGTGCCTCTTCCCCTTCCCCTTGGGGACAGGTGCTGCCTCTTGATGGCAAATGGCTGATGATTCCGGGGGCCGTGCCCCCCACCCCACCCCTAGAGTTCGAGTTCCTCTTCAGACTTCGATATTGTTGGTGGGGTGGGGTGGGGTGGGTGTGAGTTCAGGTCTGGATTTGAAAGGTGCCTGAGAGCCTGGTCTCCTCGGATCTTGGGTTTTGCTCCACTCTTTCTCCCGCGCTCACCCAGGGCTTTCAGAGTGGTCAGTAGTCTTAGGAGCACCATCAAGTTCTGAAAGGGTGGCGCTCAGACACCCTCCTACTCCCCCACCCCAAGGCATGCTTCCCAAACCAGCCCCATGGGAAACCCTTGGGGTTGAGAACTTAAATCAAGGCTTCCCCTGGGACCGGTATTTTGGGGAGTAGCCATCATCTCACCAACTTCGGATGTGTTGTCAGGAGAGACCAGTCCCTGGAGAGGGACATCCTGCTCGGCGACGCAGAGGGGCAGCGACAAAGAGGAGCTGGACGAGATGGATGGACACCGTGGCTGCAGCCATGGGCGCAGGCAGAGGAAGTGTGGTGAGGCCCGTGCAGGGCCGGCAGTGTTTCCTTCTGCCACACGGGAGGTTGCTGCGAGTGGGTACCGACCCGAGAGCCCTCAACAACCATGGGTAAGCCTATGGGGACACAGCTGTACGGTGATACTCATAGGGTCACTGTGAGGAAATGAGGGCTGGGGGGTCCACTTGCCTCGTTGCTTCCAGGGCTGCGGGGCAGGAATGAGAGTGATGGGTCAAGGGCCCAGGGTTTGTCACTGCTGTGAAGGAGGAGGTGGTACCGATCTGTGAATGGATTGAAAATGACTGCATGGGGAGCATCTCACTCCAATGGGGTTTAGAAGGCAACACAGGGGAGGCATGAGCTCCTCTGCTCTTTCTCTGGAGCCCTGAGGAGAGCGGGGTGAGCATGTCTGGGGAGCTTCGTTCCCCTCCCTCTGCTCCCCCGCCCCTGAAATACTTTGGCTGAAAGGAGATGCCCTGCTGCGTTCTGAAGCCCTGGTGTCGCAGTGGGCTGAGGTCTGAGAGGTCGGCAGTTTGAAACGACCAGCCTCGCTGTGAGAAAAAGACCGGGCTTTCTACTCCTGTCAAGAGTTGACAGTTGGGGATACTCACAGGGGCAGTTCTACCCCGGCCACCATGAGTCCGCATCAACTCAATGGCGGCAAGTTTGTTTGTTTGTTTGTTTGTTGTTGTTGTTGTTGTTTCTAAGGCCAAGAAGAAGAGGTGGAGTAGAGAGTGCCATGGCCCCCTCCTCCCTCCCTTCATTCACAGTGAGGGGGGCACTCTACTCTATCCTGGGACCACGCTGAGTCTGGATCAACTCTCTTACAGCCAAGGGTTTTTTCTTAAGCCCAGGCATCTTGCCCTGGGTTCCCCTCCCAAATTCGGCCTGAGGACTGGGGGCTTCTGGGCAACTGGGGTTACTAGTCAGTCTATTAGTAGTCATCTTCTTCTTCTTCTTCTTGTTAGGAGCCTCAGGGTCAGTTCTGACTCATAATGACCTCAGGGCTGACTCACACCTACCTCCTGTATAACAGAACCAAGTACCGCAGGTCCCGTGCCATCCTCCCCATCACTGTGAGAACCAGTCTCCTCAGAGACTCCTCCTCTTTCTTTTTCTGGGATTCTCCGCTTGACCAAGCATGATGTCCTTCTCCAGGGACTGGTCTCTCCTGACAATGTGGGATGGTTTACAGTCTACAAGACCCACAGGGGCAGGTCTCCTCTGTCCTGGGGGGCCCCGAAGAGTCAGAATTGACTTGATGGCCGTGAGTGTTTGTTCTTGTTGGGGTTTGGGGTCTAGACTGGAGGGAAGGCTGGAGGAGCAGTTGGTGGCAGATGAGAGGTGGCTGGACCACAGGGATGGGATGGGAGATGAAGGGGCAGGGACTGTGCCCAGAGGGTCCCGTAAGGAAACTGGCCCCTTTGAGCTTCCACCTGTCCCACTGTCCCCTTGGATAGGCGAGGGGTAGAGGTCACAGAGGTCAAGGACAAATGGAGGGATCCACAATGAGTCCTAACAATGGTCTTGGGTCCAGGTGATTCCAAATTCCCAGCTGGCAGCCCTTCCAAAGGGGGGTCACAGGAGTGCCTGCCAGGGCCCCCGCTTCCAGAAAAGATAGAGGGAATGCCCACTGTGCCCCGGGAAGGGGTGGCGAGGACATGGGCCCCTCTGCCCAGGGGACTGTGGGG